TCAGTGCAGTTTCTTGGTGGCATTAAGCTGCCCGGCCCCCTTTCTCATCGAACACTTTGACCGCTCGGGTCTTTAAGGTCTACTGGCTTGCTTGCGTAGCCCATTTTGCTGGTGCCTCAGATTGTCACTCCAACTTCTAAGATTTCTAAGTAGAACACGACCTGACAGGAACCTGAGGATATGGAGAGCGAGGTGGGGACATAACGTTTTGAGCATGAAAAAGAACAAGAAGCACAAGCCGTTTTTCCTCAAATCCCAAGTGACTTGGAAGGATGAGAACTGGCTTACTCAAATGTAGTCTTGTGGTTCCATCACTTTCTTGTGCGATTTGTCAGGTGCTTCAGCAATATAGAAGATTGATGCCGAAGAACGAGCAGCACATCAAGGCTAGACAAGCTGCAAGCACTCAGGCGGGATTTCAATAGAGCACTCACTCGGGCATCGACGTTGGATGCTGAGTATCTCCAGGTTGCTTGCATCGTTGCTAGCCAGGGTGCGGAATTATGGCACCATCCTCAGAGCCATCTCGTTCTCCCGTCGCTACACGCAAAGCTTCACCAAGGCTTGGCCGACATCGGCGTGCAAAGTAAAAGAGCCCGTTGCATTGCGACATCAGCGACCTAGTAGCGTCCGATCGCTCCTAGTAGCGTGTTGCAGATCACACACCCTTCTTCATCCTTCTTCATATGGCCCATCCATGCCTTTTGCTGTTTTGGTACTGCCAAGGCCCAAGGGAGCCTGTGGGACCACCACCTGGATGGTCAAGAGTTGGCTCCTCAAACCACTGGACTGCACGTGAGGCTCCAGTGACCCATTGACCTGAGGCTCCTGATGCCCAGACTGCCAAGCCCAGGACAAGTGTTGTCTGGAGAATGCACTGTGCATGGAATTATGTTTGAGCAGATGTGAGGCCTAGATTGGCAAGACGATTCATCAATGACATGGACTGTTCCAACAGTTCTTGATTCGTGGTGAGGATACCTCCTGCAGCCACGAAACAGACAATAGGTGCACTTGGTAGTCTTGCAGCGCTGGCATTACTTTTCTCGTATTGAATAGCATGCAAACCACTCCCTTTGCAAACTTATTGGCCAAGTTAGGCTTGAATTTGACTTGTTAGATAGCGGACCGTTTACCCTCTGCCCTTCACAAGAGACGCCCGGTTTGCATCCTCCTCCTCCTCTTCTCCTCCTCCTCCTTCTCCTCCTCCTCAAGCGCTGACACATACTCGTACGAGATGGGATTCTTTGCAGCACGATCAGGCTGGGTTAGGAGAAGGCATCAGTTGACTTTCCTTTGCCACAACACCTTCCTTCAACGACCTCAATCTCAGTCTTTGGTGGCTTTACCACCTTTCGGTTTGGAGAGCAATCGCCCCACTTCCTCGGGTAGAAGAGTGTGTTGGCACTTGAGCCAGATTCTTCCAACATGGGCACATGTCAGTCTGGCTTCACTTGGTGTCTAGTGTGCGACGAGTGGGCCAGACAAAGCTGTATCCTCCTCGATCAAGGCATTTCACACCAACAGATAAACCTGAAGGAGTCCTTTTGTCTCCTGCGTACCACTCCGTTTTGTGTGTGGAATTCAAGTACTTGTCCTTTCCCGAGCGTCGGCTCTTCTGTCAGAAGTCTTCATGGAAGGACACCTGCCTTCAAAGCGACATTCACTTAGGCCTGCCTCATCCAGATTCCCAAGTTACACTTCATTCTTCGCACGATCATAGGTGACCATATCTTACGAGGACACTCACTCCCACAAGTCAACTCTTGAGGTATTTGCTTCATGCCTGTGATCACTGCTCCCCACCATTTCGCTAGCCTTTGGGGTCACAGAATTGTATGCAGTTGTCCTGCCTCTTCAAGCATTTTGGAAGTCATCAACATGAGAAGGCCTGTTCCAACATGATTCTGGCCACCCTGTTTCTTCTGACTATCCTCACATTCCCATTACAGACTTGGGAGGGAACACACTGAGCAAACTCGGTTGGTTTCTGGTGTCCACACTTGGCTTGAGGGCCATGAGCAGTTCAACGCCAGCTCTGGCTGATCGGCAGCTTGCTGTGATCCATTACTTCCTTTCTCTATGTGACTGCTACTAGTAGCTTCTTGTTACTAGTGGTAATGCCCTTGTTACTAGTAGCGATGCACTTGATACTAGTAGCTTATGTGCTTCCTGCTCGTGCTCCAGTGTATGATTACAGACATTTTTCTCGTGCAAGAGCTCCATTGCTGTCCAATCGGAAACCTCGCCGAATAAACTCTACTCTCTGACAACCTTGGTCTTGGACTGATTGAGGGCTTCTGAGTGGGAGTCGAGTGGTGAAGAATGGATCCCATCAAAGGGGCCCAAGTCCACCAAGTCCATTTCTTCCCTCGACCCGGGCCTTCTAAGAGAATGATGTCTCAGTGAGTGGAGCAAACGTATGGCTTTGATTGATCGAACAAACACACAGATAAGTGCATGAAACACCACGAGTCGAAACAATATTTGCGAGTCGAAAGTCAATCTCTTCCTCTAAACTGGACTCAACTAGGCCAAACATCCAAGAACCTTTTGATCTCTGGTCTCTGCCACTCCCCCATTCTCCAAACACACCTACCCTTCGCCCCGGACTTTCCACGTGTTACAGTATGGGCTGTGAATGTCAGGTGCTCTGACTTGCTTAATAGAACAGGGTGGTTTTGCAAGCATGGTTCTCCGCACGGCCCAAAGTGCTTTGTCTCAAACAATTGCCTAAGGCCTGTCACAAGCCCACAGTGAAATCAAACTAGGGAGAATCCATCCATGCTATTCGACACAACCAACATCGGCGGCAGACCTATGTGGACAGCACAAGTCACCCACACTTCTAGACAATTTGGCTACTGTTTGCACTCGGGTAGCATTCTTCATTCAGTCTCTATATATATATATATATATATAGTTGCATTTCATAGAGCTGATGCCGACTCATGCTGAAGTCATCGCACAAAATCCACTGGAAGCTCCAGCGGACTTTTGGACCAATGTTTCCTGGCAGCATCAATTCCTTGCTTGGATGAGCCTCATTTCATGTTTGATGTGGCTGCTCAGCTGGTGACTCAGGTTTACTATGTCACTCCGGCTGCATTTTGCCGCACTTTTCGTTTGGCTGTGGTGTCGTGAGTGTCATGTCGAAGATTGGCCGTCGAGGATGGCAGCCAAGGTGGCCAATGGTCTTTCGGCATTTCTGGTAGTATCTGTCTTGCTGGGAAGCTTTGTTCTGTGCTGCTTGCAGTGCATTGTGCGCGTGGAGCAGTGGGAAGAGAATCTTGTTCATGTTATTGTAGACATTTGTAGACTGCCTTTGCAAGCGCAGAGATTTCTTGATTATTCCTGGAATCATTCATTCTTGGCAGTAAGACTATTCCTGTGTTTGCGAATCAACACATGCCCTTTCTTGTCTGCCTGGTAGCTTTGCCACGTGTGACATATGAATGGGCAGAAGTTCATCTTAGGCTGCGCAAGTTAAGTTTGAAGTGCGTAGAACCATGTGCACTGAGGAAAAGGCGGAATGCCTCGCACTCTGGAAAGGACGATTGATGCATCTCGAAGGAAGTCCAATCTACGAAAGGAGTGACAACGAAGCCGATCAAACCGTCCTGAAGCTGGAGCACATCTGAAACCCACCCAGATCTCCCTGTTGCATTCAGCCGGCGGGGAAAAAGATGCCCTCCGACCTGTCACACATACGCATAGGCGTACACACCGTAAATCAAAGAAACATGTGATGCAAGCTCTTTGTGCCCTTTTGTTTGAGGTGCTCGGATGACCTCCACAGTGATCAGGGTCAAGCCAGAGTCTTGAGGTAGACAGCATTGGAGAGTCCATATCGGACCGGACTTGGACTGCGCCGAGTGAGTGTGGCTGAGGTCTGTGGCTTTGAAACCGAGACCTCCCGCCGGAAGGCCCACAGTGCCTACAGCTTCACAGTCAGCAAAGGCAGCTTCGAAACCAGCATCACAAGCAGCTTCGAAACCAGCTTCAAAGCCTGAGCTGCCACCACGTCGAAGCTTGCAACCAACACCAAAGGCCTCACAGTCAAGAGCTTAGAACGAGGATTTTCTTGGAACTTGGAGCTTCGTCTTTCGTCTGTGTTCTTTGTCTTCTTTCTGTGCCGAGCGTGGAGACTTTGTTTCGGTTTCCCTTGACTCAGGCCGGAACGGAAAGCACCAGTGAAAGGGGGTCCAAGGCCGCCAGAAAGGCAAAGCCGAACTCCGGTGCTGAAAGGCAAAGCCTTCAGCAAGGGAAGAGATGGCAGGAAGGGTGAAGAAAGAAAGCAAGACATGTCCGATGTGGCTGATAAGCAGGAGAGGGAATCGGACAAAGGGAAAGGAGCGAAAGGAACCAAAAGCACAAAAGGAGCGGAGAATGCACGAGGCATAGGAGTAGATGGGAAGGATGGAAAGCAAGGAAGGGGTGGAAAGGATGGAAAGAAGGGAAAGGTGGGGAAAGAGACAAAGGAGGGAAAGGGTGGAAACGGCAGGATGGAGGGACAAGGGCGGCAAGGGAGCAAAGAGACATCGGATCGACTTCAAGAAATGCAAAAGGGCAAGGGAGGTAAGGACCTTATGGAGAAGGGAAAGAGCCACAAGGGAAGAGGAAAACAGCGGCAGGAGCGCCCGGAAAAGGCTGCAACTGGCCCAAAAGGGGGTCCAAAAGGCAAAAAAGAGAGTTCTCATGAAGAGCCTGAAGGCGACTTTGGTGGCGCTCCAAGCTGGAGATTTACATCCAATTCAACTTTGTTTCCCTCAACTTATGGACACTTGTGACACTTGCAGCCAAGGCTATGTTGGCGACGTGTGGAAGTTGCTGTAAATCTACTGAGGGCAAATCGTGCGAAATCACCTCAGAGCTCTGCCAGTCGCCAAAAGAGTTGCATTGCATTCATGTTTCCCAAGGTTTTTATGGCATGACTCAACGACAGCGCGCATCATTTTTAGCGCGCGCTTTGTTTTGCATGGTCTGACTTTGTCAGAGGCAGTGATTGGCTCAGACACATCACTAGACAGGAAGGGGTAGTTGCTTGGTCCGCTCCTGCTTTTCTGCCACTTTCTCAGCTGGGTTTATTGTGTCGTGGTTCCCTAGGCTTGGCGAATAATTCTAAAAATTCCGGCACTGATTCTGGAAGTGCTAGGGGACAATTGCTCTCCACTTAGATAGCATACACAGAAAGCAGTGGCGAATCTTTAAGATACGTTTAGTCGAATACGCATGAACCTGTATGAAAAACATAATTCGCAGTGTTTTGTGAGCGACCAAGCCAAGGACAGGCCACGGAGATTTTGGCGGAAGATGATGAAGCTCTATGCACATCCTGATGACTACAAGACCAAAAAGGCTGAGCTTGTTAAGCGGCTGCCGGACTGCATTGTACTTGTGCTGTCAGACATTGAGACAGGCCTTGATCGCCGCGCAGTATGTGGGTTTGGAGGTGCATCCATGTTTGGACGTTGGGGCTCCAGATTGAATAATGCATCGCCATATCTAAAAATCACCGAAACTCGACTGGTCGAGCAAATCTTGCGCTCTCAGTGCTATCAGCGCTCCGTCAAACCTGGAAAGGTGGCCTGTCCGAAGAACGCTGGTGAAGCTGCCACTGGAAGGGTCGCCGTGTTTGCAAAAGTGTCAATGGCTTCACTTCTGGTTCCAACCAGTTATTATATATATATATTATATTACATATTATACAATATGCATTATATATAATTCCATATATGTATATATATACACATATATTTTGAGTTTTCAACTTGTTACTCCCTCACAGACCTATTCTCTTGACTTTAGCTCTCTCAGGTTCCCGTTTTGGAGACTCCCAAGGGCTGCATCTTTGCGAGTGGTGCAATTGCCAGGTGAAAAGCTCAAAGACTTGAACATTGTCCTTTGTATGATGCTTTACTTTAACCAGTTCGCCACAGTGTACAAGGTATATCTCAAGAATCAGTCGACCAGTTGGCCTCTATGGTCAAAATCTCATCGAGGTTCCTTTCTCTTTCGTTATGCCATAACTGTTCTGGTTGGTCTGAAGTTTTAAGCTTAGCATCAGACCATTCAGGGCGGCATGATCGATTCCTGGGTGGAGTTCTGCACACATGAGCTGGAGGACTGGAGTGGGATGAAGGACATGCGCAGTTTCGGCAAACCTAAGAGTGATGGCATCCATCCTAATAGCATAAGGAACCTAACAGAAATGGCCTCCAACCTACTAGCGATGGCCTCCAACCTACGGGTCTGAAGCGTGGGCCGAGGTACCTCTTTGCACTTGGGTGCTGCCAGTGATGCCGCCAGTGTTCAAGATGAGCTGAAAGCAAGTTCTGCCAACTATGACTGACACATGATTGTTTTGGACTCTTCGTTCGGGCATAAACAGGTGATGGGAGTGTACAAAGAGATCCCTGAAGCCACTGCTTGCTGGTTGCCTAGAGACCTTTCAACATCAAACATACGGAAAATGAAACTACTGTAGATGAGACGCGGCAACGAGACGTGGCAACGAGGCGCAAAGGAAGACGTGAAGCCTTGACCTCAGACTTCGGGAAATGATAACACAGGGCTTGTGAGGCGCACTGAAGAGTTCGGAACGAGACCCGAGATATCTAGACATACTCTTGGAAGAATTTGTGAGCCTCACAATGACACTCTCAATAAAGTCGTTATAACCTCTAAAGTCTTAGAGTCTCAGAGACTGCTGAAGAGACAGAGCTTCAGAGAAGATGTCGGATAGAGTCCGAGACCAGAACTGAAGATGATGACCATTCATTTCAGGCGATCGTTGACAGTTCTGGACAAGCACCTCCTCCAAAACACCTTCATGGCCGTGTCCTTTGTAGAAATTGCGTTAGCGGACCTGCAGGTCCAGACAACTTACAAATTGCAAAGGCTTTTGCGAATTCACACTATCTGTGAGGCCGATGGAGTATTTTGTACATTGCATATCGTTTTTAGTGGCCCCCAAGCAATGTCTACCTTTTTGTGGGCAAGACTTAAAGAATCAAAACGGGGTACAGCAGGTCCAGACAATGGATAATATCCCTCACCGTGAATGAACTGGCATTTTGGATAGGGTACCACTTCAGAAGCCTCCCTTGTTCACTCGCATGTAATCCACACATTCATGGTCAAAGATCTACGAGTCCAACCTGTCCAACCTAAATCAAGGGTTCTTGACCCCTCTCGTTGTGCCAACCAGAGATGCATAACTTTGAAAAGACAAGATGCAAGGATCTTTCCTTCGAAGTTTCTGATTTTAGAGCCTCGGTCCTGGCAAGCATAGACGTGCCTTGTGGAGTAACGTGAAACCTCACTTGTGTGCTTTGACTGAGTTGAATTCTGCTGCCACTCCCCGCTGCTATTTAGAATTTTAGCTCCTCTGGGTGGAGCCGATGTAGATTGAGTCGTGGAAACACTGCTCAGTGCTCTAGTCTAATTCAGCAGCTTGGTCTTTCGATCGGTCCGCCCGAACCCTGGAATTTTAGTTTCAAGACAGATGCTCTGGTGGTTTCGAAGCCTTTTTTGGCCTCAAATGAAGCGGAGGTGCATTTTGGAGACCTTTCAGGACTGTCAGACCATCTCGCTTGTCTTGGGTTTGGATACCTCTAAAACCGTTTGCAGTGAAAAGCAACCTCAGGCCATGGCCAACATACCTTTCCAAGACCAGACGTCGCCCTTGATCACGGCACCTCCACGTTTTGTATTGTATGGGCCCTATGCAAGAGCTCTTTTTTCCAATAAGAAGTCTTTGACCTTGCCACACTCTATATGTCGAATGTCTTGCTCATGTCACGACATGCCAGCTTTGATTCCTCCAGTGTGGCCAGGGACCTCGCTCGGTCCCCGTTGTTTAAGGCTGGCTGATCCAAATGTCGTTGGCAACATTCTCATCGGATGCACCGCAACTTGGATAGAACCAGGAAGCGCTTCCTACAGATGAGCAGATGGCTTCCTACATCCCAGGACAACTTTGAGCAGATCAGTGGTTGGAGCAGGCCACTGTTTCCAATTCACTAGGTACAGCAAAAGGTCACTAGGTACAGCAAATGCAGGCAGGAGGTCCTCGGGATGCCGTGTGACTTCCTACTGGAGGTGCAGCACTTAGAACCCAGGTCCGCTCCCCGGTCTCGAAAGCGACTCGTTCAGGGCTGCGGGAACTTGGTGTCCCAAATTCAAGCGCTGAAGTCCTCCATGCTCCAAGCCGATGAGTTTGTGATGTCCTCAGACTCCACGACGATCTCAGACCCGTGCTGTTCTTGTTACTAGTGCAGATTCGCGATGCATTCATGTCCCACAGGTCCATAGGATCTTTTGAACGTTTGCACTGAGCCCGCATTACCGCAGGGCCCTTGAGTCGCTCGAAAAAGACCGCATGTGCAACTGCGGCACTATGGCCCCCCGGCCCGGGTTGTGAATCCCCGCTCTTGCATTGGTAGCGGAGCGAGCCGATCCGCGTGGCTCGCTCCCGCATGCCCATGGCGGCTGACGTCTTTGGCGCGCCGCTTCGCTCTTCGGTCGCCGCTGGCGGCACCCTACCTCCTGCTGAAGGTGACCTACCAGAACTGGCAGCGGCACCGGCGGCAGCGGACTACAACATGGACTACCACGACAGCGACGTCCTGGTGGAAGATGGCTTCAACTACGACTTCGACGAAGAGGACGAGTTGGTGCAGCTCTATGCCACCGGACCCCGTGGTGGACGCAGACTGGGTCGCAATGGCCCTAGGACGGAAGAGGTGACCACCTCCTGGCGATGCAGGACGCCGGAATCCGACTTCCCCGGCATCCGACGGACGCAAGAGTCCGGCTTCGCACCACTCCGTCGCTGAGAAGAGTCCCGCTTCACCCTCATCGAGGACTTCGGCATCAGAGGACGCCGCAGGACGGCATCGACCTCGTGGAAACTTGCCACAAGCACCCAGCTTCGATGGCAACATCAAGAAGAACCCCAAGGCCTTCAAGCAGTGGCTGCAGAAGATCGATAGCTACATCGAGATCGCCAAGCACATCATCGGGCCCGAGGAGATCGGACTTCGATTGCATGCTGCCTTGGAGGGCGACGCAGCCGCCTACCTGGAAGGCATCCCGGCCAAGACCTTTGGCGTGACCGACGGCTGGAAGGTTCTCGCGCAGGTGCTCAAGGACAAGTTCGCCGAGAAGCGGATGCACCTCAGGAGGTGCCATGAAGTCCTTCTTCCAGCTCCAGGTGGACCGCAACTCCACGCTCACCGAGGTTGCGGACCAGATGGATCGAGCAGCGCGGCTTTGCGCTGAGTCAGATCTCACCCTGCCGGATGAGATCATGGTGTACTTCTTCTTCGAGCACTCTGGTTGCTCGTTTGAGAGAAGGGCGAACATCCTCCTGAGGACAGGGGGCGAATACAACTGGAAGAAGGTGAAGCAGGCGGTGGAACTCCTCTACCCACAGACGATGGTTTCCGCTCCTCGCCGGAACTTCGACCACTCGAAGGGTGCGGGCAAGCGGCAAGCACACGAAGCTCAGGGACAAGGAGATGACGCCCAATACGCAACCTCCTCAACCGACCTCGCATCGATGGACTTGGAGGATTGGTTGTACTATGAGGACCCCATCGAGCGCCTTGCCGACTATGACACCCCGGAATGGATGCCTGAAGGACTTGCCCGAGAACTTCATGAAGTCTTTGCCACTCACCGTGAGAACCGTGCCAAACTGGCCAAAGCAGTGAAGGCTCGTGGCTTCTACACGGGCAAGGGCAAGGGCAAGAAAGGATCAGGCGGCAAGGGCAAAGGCAAGGGACGTGACTCATCCTCCGGCTCCGGAGGTAAGAGTTCTGGCTAGAAGGGCAAGGGCTCTGGTGGCTCTGGCCATGCCCGCGGCATGTCGCTCGACGAGCTCAAGAAGAAGACCACATGTGGCGACTGTGGCCAGTTGGGTCACTGGCGTGGCGACCCTGCCTGCCGCGGACCGAACAAGGCCAATGAGACCGTCACCATCGACCTTGCCGACGATGAGAACCCAGAGAACGATGACCTCTACTACGACGATGTTTGGATGGAATGGCAGGATTGGGAGCAAGATGCCAATGAGGCCTGGACTACACACAGTGGCGCAGCAGACCAAAGCAGCACCGCCTATGCGGCCCAGGCCAAGAAGGAGCAGAAGTCCGAGCACTACCCCGAGCTCACCAAGCCAGAGGCCGAGGAAGTCATCCATGGAGTGAACCGCATTAAGAAGAAGTTCCACTCCAAGGACTCGCCGACCGAGACGGTGACACCTCCTTCGAAGAAGCCAATGGATGTCTTCACTGCCTCAGCTCTCATCCAACATCGGGTTGAGGCCAAGAAGGAAAAGGAGAAAGCTTCAGCTCACACGGCCACAGCTCCAGCGGCCGTGCGAGAGGCATTCGACGTCTTAGGCATCAAGCCCCCCGACACCAAGGACTCCGTCTGGGGCGTGCTCAACCAGGAAGCCGAGGCCACCTTTGACCTCGACGAGATGCGTGTGGTCATGGCGGTCACACGCCAAGGACCAAGTTTGCAGGAACTCCAACGACCTCACCTTGGCCACGACGATCATGGACAACTCCTTGGAGTACCCCGCAGCGTGCTGGCGAACACTCGGCTCGCCCCGAGTGTGCGGGATGGCATGGCGTATCTAACCATCGATACTGCTTGTGAGAACACCGTTGGAGGCCGTGGACATCTGGACTATGCCATGGAGATCCTCCGGAAGAAGCACAACGTCAAGGCCCTCATCACGCCTGAAGAGGAGTCATACAGGTTTGGCCCTGGCGAAGCACGGATCTCCCACCAGAGGTTCCACATTCCCATCGGGATCGGCGGAGTGGCCATGATCATCAAGACCTCCAGCCTGGAGGACCGACACCCCGAGCAGAACCGCATCCCCTGGTTGGCTGGCCAAGATTGGCTTCGCTTTATGGAAGCAGTGGTGGACGTTGCCGGCCAGAAGCTGATCCTGAAGGCAGTTGGCGCTCAGGCCGACCTTTTCATTGACGTCGCAGGCCACCTTGTGGTAGCCGTGGACGATTTCCCTCCTGACGGATGGCCTCAAGCCCTTTGGATGTCAGGAAAAGCCTATACGGCGACCGCTGTCCGGCCTGAGCAGTGCACCCACATCTACAATCCTGAGGATGACCCCATGAACTCTACGGGAGCTACATCAAGGACACCCTGTTTGGTCCCTGGTGATGTTTGGGAGTACTCTTTGGAGCATCCACTTCTATATGTACGACATCATCGCACTCCCAGGACAACCAGATTTCATCCTCAGGAAGTCGTAGATGGCCCTGATCCCAAAGAACTTCAACCACTTCGGGTCACCTACAAAGATGGTTTTGGGGAACCCTCAATCGATGTATGGGATGATCATGTTCATGAAGAGCCTTGGACCGGCATCACCA